CACCATGTATACTGCAGCCCCAGTAGAAGTGGTGATTCTTGGGCAAGATAGCCTGACGGCGCCCATCCCTCTCCAGGCCGGTTTTGAATTTAGAGTTTTTTATCTTATAGTAGACCTGTTGCCACTCAAAGTTATACAACCCAATCTGTCCTGCCTTTTACATATAGCTTTAGAAGAAGAGGATCCATACGTTTCTCAAAGGTATTAGCACGTAAGTGAATGTAATGGATCCGACTGGAATTTGGATGAGGAAATAGGGCTTGTAAAATCTGATACTCACATGACAGATTGAAGGCAAGAGGGACAGAGGAAAACAATGCATGGCATACTTAGAGATTTCCCACTCATCAGGATAAAGTGAGTGAAGTGAGAAATCATGAAACCCCGAGTCGACCTGCGATAAGTATTCAGAGCTTAAATTTAAATTTTGCTGAGAAATATACTAGCTGACATTCTGATCACCTTGAATTATATATATATATATATATATATATATATATATATATATACTCGACTCTTCCGTCGAATTTGACGTATGAGTCTCAAGCAGATCAGTTCCTAGGTGCACTACGTTATCCCTCAAACGACCCTCCGCAGGTTTTGAATTCAGAGTTGTCCTTCCCCCTAGACCAGTTGCCATCCAAGGCTATAAAACCCATATTAACCTATAGCTGGAGGGGGAAGAAGAGGATTCATACTTTTCTCAAGAGTGTTAGCGACTGGAATTCGAACTCGGCTCTCCGATTCCTCAATCCAAGCCGCTATCGATTACTCCACCCTGCCTGCCTGCCTGCCTGCCTATCTATCTATCTATCTATCTATCTATCTATCTATCTATCTCATTCTCTTCATTATCTATCTATCTATCTATCTATCTATCTATATATATATATATATCGAATGGCATTACTATTATTATTTTATTTTAAATAAGTAGATATTAAAACGTGTGACTATAAATTGCTGTGGTAAACTGCTCATCTTATACGTCACAAGCAATTTCACATCTTAAACTATCATCAGACCCTAGATATCGCTTCTGTGCATGGGATTTCTATATAGACACGCTCATATAATACATTCTACGCAAAGACGATTAATTAGTACCTGGTGATCGCTTTAGGCAGGAAACTGGAAATCCTCATATAGCCTTAGTTTGTATGTCGACGCTTTTGAGATCTACGAAAGCGCTACACTTGATTGAACACCTTTCTCTCATAACTATCTTCTTTTATGTGCCGTGTTCCTTCGGGATATAGGCGATTATGGCCCTCCACCTTTTCTTGTTCCTTGTAGCTCTTAATATGGTTTGTCTTTTCTTCCAAACCCTGTTCTGCCATTCATTTGCTCAGACCCATCACACATTTTACAAGCCCTCCTTTCTTATTACGTGTCCCAGAAATTTCAACTGCCCCTTCCTGATGTTAAGTGTAAGTTTTTGTCTTTTTGCTTCCATTCTCTCCAAGACCTGACATGCTCAGCCCTCAGCATGCCTTTGCAGAACCATATTTCTGTTGCTTTGAGACTCATAGATATAGCACATTTTAAGGAATATGATTTGGGCTATATTTGAGCATGTGGGCGGGTGTAGAATACATTTACTATTCCTCTGCATGTGTAGACTTTCACGCATTAGGAAGTATTGTGAATAGAAACACGTTTTTGAATTTCGTAGAAAGACAAACATCATCGTCAAAAACTTCCCTTAAACAAGAAAGAATAAGATCTCCATGGCTTCTTTTAACAAGAATTCAATTCTTTAAATGCTTAAGTAATTTATTCGGGGTAACTTATTCGGGGTAACTTATTCACCTCAACACCGTCAACTCAACCCCGCCGACTCAGCGCCTGGACAACTCAATACCGAGACAACCCAGCACCAGAAAAACGTAACTTTTTTACAACCAAATAAAAGTAATTTATTAAGGATTAAAACCTTAATTAGTGAATATTTTTACTTTACGATTTCATTTATTAAAAATAATTTAAAAAAATATTTACTAATTAAGGCCCTGAGGTGTCTGTACGCAACTTACTCGAGATCCGTACTGATATGTCTGTACCAGATAAGCTATGTTATCTAACTAAACTTCCGCATAAAAGGAGACATACTGTGTGCTTTATTGAGTCAGATGATGGACTAATGGATACGTTCTTTTAATTCCCATATATTATCGTATCTTTATGAATCTCTGTCCAAGACGCTTAATGTTCAACCCGTGTCTTTTGGTTCACTGTGATGGGCATATCAAACTTTGTATTTATGGTTAAAAGGGGCGCGCGTCAGCGTCAGCAAAGTCTCTTCACTTCATTCATGAACTGAATATTGGTCCGTTAGCTGAGACTGAATTTCACAACGGTAGTAGATTTATGAATGGCGTTTATGCAACTATACGTAAATACGAATTGGCTCTCTTTAACGCAGATTATGACATCGATAAATAGATCGGAACAGACTGTGATTGATAGATAGATAGATAGATAGATAGATAGATAGATA